TTAGTGGTTTTCGTGAGCGCGGCCGGCTCTGGTGAGCTGTACAGATGTCGCCTCTGCACAAACGTTCGGGCATCGGTGCCTGCTTATGTTTGTGGAGGTGGTTTTATGAGGTCACCACTTGCCTGCCGAAGCATTTCATTCCATCTTGGTGACATACGCTTCGTGCTAACAAAAGGGCATGAAAAGTTATGTCACACGTTATTTCCGTGCCCAGCAGAGACTGGGATGTCCCACTTCGGCTTCGTCTTAGATGATGCCATCCTAACCGCATTTGGACACTGCGGACCCGTCACAAGAGAAACATGGTGCATCGGGCGGTTGGAGCTGAGTCAAGACACCCCTCTAAGAAGCTTGATCTAGAGTTGGAAACATGTATCTGCCCTACAGAGAGAGTGTGGGCACCTTTTTCGATAGCGGAGTGTTGCTGACAGGAAGAGGCTGACAACTTCGCCCCAGTTCGGACGGTGGCAGTAGACTCCTTCCCCGCAGACAGTCCGCGTGGAGGTTGGGTAATGCATGGTCACGGCGGATCTAGTCACATCACGAATCTCTCCAGCCTGCCAACAAGGAGATGCGATACAGCCATACTTACAGTGAAGAACAGAGGACGACAGACATTTTAGAATCATTCGGCAGGGCCAAATATCATAGAGCTGCTATGAGTGCTACCCTGACTTCATGAGGTCTCTTCTGGGTTTTCATTGCCAGGTTGAAGGTAGCCATCCAAGAGAGATCTGTTTTAGGGCTTCAAAGGGAGCCTCTGAACATGATTCACATGTGATCCCAAGTCAGGATCCGCACAGTCCCTTGTTGATCCCCAAAATCCCTAAGGGTAGCTGTACTGTTATGGGATGCCCAAGAGGCAATCCAGCTTCTGGTGCGTGCCTCCATCCTGGAGGATCCTCGGAGGAGGCCTATATGGGATTGAGGGGTACGGAGTCCTGAATCTCTCGTTTCTCTTTTGCGTGGTACTGCAATAAGTCAGACTTTTCAAGCCCAGTACGTTTTGACATTGTTCTAGGCTAGCTCGAGTCCATTATGCTCTGTTCGTTTGGCGCGCTCGCGCCAAGAAGACATGGCGGCTGTGACAAATGAGGTGGAGGATGCGAATGAGGCAGAGGCTGCAGACCAAGCGCCTGAGAAAGAGAAGAGACCTAGCCTCCGTGAGGTCTGCATGATCGCATTGGCCCAAAGTTTGTCGGCGATGCTGCGCAAGATGTACAGCGACACAGCGCCGAAGTCGAGAAAAGCGTGCTGTCAAGTGAGCGAGATGCGCGTTGTCATCTTCGTAGTGGTTGTCGTGGCAGCAAGGCAGTGTTTATCCACTTCAACTTCTGCATAGCAAGAGCGGTGTTAGCTGAAGCTTGTCACCGGGACAGCATGGATGCATGAACAGGGTACTGATGGTGATATGGGAAGAACAGGCCCTGGCACTGTTTAGTTTAGGCACCACGAGGCCAGTTTCATGCTGAGAGCGGGGCAGATACCACATGGCCACATTGACATTCGCAGCTATGCAATGACCCAATCACACCCAAGCTACCGTAACCATTGCGCCGGACGGCAGCGCAAAATCATGAACAAATTCCGGCCGGCTACTGAGTGCGTGGAAGGATCTATTCGTGAAGAATGCCACGTTGGTTACTGCACCCTTGAGAGACATGAAACAGAATGCCCTGACTCTGCAAGCTGTTCTGTGGCTCGGGGGGTATTTGCCAGCACGCGTGCGGTAGCGCAAATTCCGCTGCCGCCGGGCTGGCTGCCTCTCGCAAAGCATGGCCACAACAACGGCGAAGATGTGTCTTGGCTGAGTTTTGCCTGGGCATTGTCACCTGCTGTAGGCTGTAGGCTGTAGGTGCGAAAGCACGGGCCAGTGGGCAATGTCTTTGTAGGTATAAGAATAATACCTTGCGGACCTTGCGCTCGCTCCAAAGAACTTAGAGTCTCTGCCAAGTCCTCAGATTTCTTCGCGACCTGCTTTTCACTCAGGTCGCCCGAGCGACAGGGCCAGCAGGAGCCTATTCGAAGTGCTGTGAGTCGAGTCCTTTCCCTTGCGCCTTCGGTTGAGGGTAATGAGCTTAGAAAGTTCTCAGCCCTTTGATGCAATCGCAAGCATGCTGGAGGAAAAGATCCTCCGCGCATTTCGCACCGCGCTGCCGGATTCCGGGGACTGGACCGAGAAGCAGGCTGCAGCGGGTGCTGCGCAGGAATCGTGAAGCGATGCGAGGGGAGGAGCCCAGCACAACTTGTGAGCAGAGGCAGCTTACAGCTTTTTACACCTTGAAGCGATACGCCTATTTCAATCATCCTAACCTTGCCAGGTCAGAATCCTCCTCAATGCCCTTGGCGTAGAGCTGAGCGAAGAGCCGGACTCTCAGCATAGGCTTGTCACACCAGGTTGGCCGAGCTTAGCAAGAGCAAGGGATGTGGGGGCACTTGTTTGAATGGGCCTTTGTTGGCAAAGGCGGCTGCGCTCTATGCTGGATGCGGCGAGCAATGGAAGCGGTAAGGTGGCTCTTGCTCGGGCCTAGTCTATTGACGCTTGGAGATGGAGAATATACTCATCTCGGGGGGCCTTTCATCTTAGGCGAGAATTGTGCTGCCGCCAAAGGGTCCTCTCAGAGGGCTGGATCTAAGCCGAAACTTTAAAGGCTCCAAGCCGGCTGCAGCAGGTGACCTACGAGCAGCTCATTTCGTGGCTGTTCAGCTGTGCCTCAAGCTTCGAGATTAGAGCTTCATGCTTGGGATGTGAGGTTCAGGACAATTCCAAAGGTTGGGGTGAAGGCAGCTGAAGCATTGAGACCCCTTCCAAAGGGTGTTCAAGGCAA